AGGACGCTTCCGGCGTTATGACATGACCAAATTCCTATTGATTCTTCAGAGCCGCAGTATCTCACAACAACCAACCGGGCCACTGATCGATCATTCATAATCATAAACCTTCAAACCTCACATCCCTTGCCAATCAAGCTACAAAAAACCCCCACTTGTAATCTTTGATTGATTTAGGATCTTCAAGCAGTTTACTGTTCTGTTGATTCAGTGAGTGTTCCATTCCAATCTGACTCCTGCAAAAAAAGACGCTTTTGATTACTTGACTCGTATCCCGCCGAAGTTATGTCTCCGCCTACCAAGCTGCCACTACCCCTCAAAGCCTTATCTGCAATTAGCACTGGCGCTTCTGACCATGCTAGAATGGTCAGAGCATCCACAGTGGTGGGCTCCAAATCAAGCAAATTCAAATTTGGTGGGGCCCCAAATCAATCCGGATGCAGTCGTTCGGACTTCAAAAGTGTAGATTCTATGTGTTTACACACACTTTGAGATTGGTGCGCGTGGGCTTACATGTGTGAGGTATGGGATTGAGCAAGTGCGGGAATTTGGAGCCCGGCTTTTTGTTGCCAAATTTGTAGCCCAAAGCTCAAAATTTGAAGCTGGCTACAAAAATATTTGGCAATGGGGACCGCCATTGCACCAAAAAATCAGGGCTCAGTCACCAAATTTGGCGATAGCCCCAATTTGGAGCCTACCACTGTGGATGCTCTCACCAACCCCGCAAATTTGGTTAGACACATCTTGAATCAACCACCTCCCAACCATGGCGCTTGCAAAGGTGGAGCTTCACTGCCTGGCAAAGCACCCAACATTGATCGAGGTCGTATCAAAGGTCACGGACAACTTTGGGCCAACTATTTTGCTGATCCGCCCAATTACCACGAGCATCTCTTTTGTCATAGATTCTGCATGGGACGTAATCTATTCCTTTGCATTGTTGAAGGTGTCACAGAGGCGGATGACTATTTTGTCCAAAAGTGTGATGCGGTTGGACAACTAGGTCTAACCCCCCTCCAGAAATGCACAGCTTTGATCCAAATGCTTGCTTATGGTGGTCCAGCTGATCGCAAAGACAAAAACCTCAGATTAGCCAAGTCCACCACTCTCAAATCACTCGAGAGGTTCTGTGTGGCTGTCAATACCGCCTTTGGCAAAGAGTACCTACGTGAACCTACCGCTGAAGACACTGCACGTCTCTTGGCGGAGGCGAAGTCACATGGCTTTCCAGGGATGTTAGGATCCATCGACTGTATGCACTGGACCTGGAAGAATTTCACAAAGGGTTATTCAGCCCAATACCAAGGACAAAAAGGCGACCCAACACTGATCCTCAAAGCCGTCAGAACACGGTCGCGCTTGCGCATAAATGGGAACGTTCCCTATATACTTAAGGAACATAGTTCCTACGCCCAAAGGGTTATTTGAATCATTTGAAATCAATAAATACACTCCCCTTACGTCTTGCTGCCTGTCCCAGCCTGTCCCACAAGGTCCCACGTACTCAGACACCGACGTGCCCTGTTGCGCCTACATAGACAAACACCTACAAACACCTCTACACAAAAACATTCATTCATGATGCCTCCCATCGCACCTCACAATGTCACTCTTGTACCAGACAAAGAAGCACGGAGGAAACAGAAGAAACAGAGGAAACAGAGGAAGCTGATGTAGACAATGAAAGCAAGTCACAAAAACATGGAATTCCCGAACCAAAAGTGCATGAAGTATCACAACTCAGAACCCAAGCCATGAGAATGAGTTCATCATGTGTTAGTTTTGATGGTATTCGATGATTGATTGGTAAACATGTGTTGAGTATAGTCATCATGAAGAATGCTGAATTCAAAGTGAAGTGAAGTGGTTCTTGAGTGAAGGAGGGACCTTGTGCATGTGAAGGTGCTTAACGCCTTTGTCTTGTGGGAGTCTGGTATGTCGCTGCAGGTCGCTGCAGGTCGCTGCAATAAAACGCTTTGGTCGTAGGTTCTCATTGATGGTGTGCAAAACTAGGTTAGGGAATGTTCCTTAGGGGTCTTAAGGAACCTTTTTTAAGGAATGTTCCTAGTTGTGCGCGGATGCGACCATGCCCTCAAAGCCGTAGCCTCCCAAGACCTATGGATATGGCACTGTTTTTTTGGCCTACCAGGATCACTCAACGACATCAATGTATTGGACCAATCCCAACTCTTCACTTTCCTTGTTAAAGGCCAGGCGCCACCTTGCAAATACAAAGTTAATGGGAAGGATTATCACATGGGTTACTACATAGCTGATGGTATCTACCCCAAATGGGCTACCCTCGTTCAAACTATTTCGCAACCATTGGGAGAAAAGAAAAAGGTATTTCTATGGTTGTTTTTATTTTACAGGTGGCCAATGATATCATCCACTGATAGCAGAAAAAACCTCCCATGATAGCACTATGCAAAGTTCCAGGAATCATATCGCAAGGACGTGGAGCGATGTTTCGGTGTTTTGCAGGCATGATTTACAATTGTTGCCGGCCCAGCCAGAGTGTGGCATACTTGCACTTTGAAAGCTATCATGCCAGCTTGTGTGATCATGCACAACATGATTGTCAAAAATGAACAAGCAGGCGGCCTGATTGTGCCCAAGCCCATCCGTGAGGCACCGGTTTTCTGGCGTGAACCTGCCAATTTCCCTGACACTACACAAAATGTCATCTTTACCGGGCGGTAAAGAAAACTACTGACATAGAAAAGTCCTGAGGCAACAGGAAGAGAGCTAAAAATCTGAAAAAATATGCACCTTGTTCCTAGATGTTGGGGCGTCATGATGAGTATTTTTTTGTATTTTACACACAGATATTGGTTAATGTACTAACAATAAAGGCTGAGAATCATCAAAAACCCACCTGTAACAATACCTGAAATTTGGCCCTTGACTTTGAAGACAGGATTTTGGAATCTTCAAACATCAATAACTTTTGCAGTTCTGAATCAAATCACCCAATTTGAAGTGCATTAAAAAGGTGAGCCTTTCCTCTACATTTTTCATTGAGACATCACATCTGTAGCTGGTCTAAAAAAGATCCTACAGAGCTATTCATGCAGAACTGTTTGAACATATGTAGAGTGTTTAAATGACTAGATAGCACCTTACTAACATTATGAAGTGTGAAGGAGAATAGTTCAGCTTTTGAATGAACCAAAAATTGAGTTATTTGGAGGAGAATTGCAAAAGTTATTGAAGTTTTTAGACCACAAAATATTGTCTTCATACTCATGACCCAAATTTCAGGTATTGTTACATGTGAGTTTTTGATGATTTTCAGCGTTTATTGTTAGTACATAAACCAATATCTGCGTGTAAAATACAAAAAAATACTCATCATGACGCCCCAACATCTGGGGACAAGGTGCATATTTTTTCAGATTTTTAGCTCTCTTCCTGTTGCCTCAGGACTTTTCTATGTCAGTAGTTTTCTTTAGCGCCCGGTAAAGATTACATTTGGTGTAGTGTGATTATTTGGACAATCAAGACACCATCCGTAACCAAAACCGTCATGAACAACTTAAAAGTGACTTGATCAATGATTTATGGGATTTTCACAGAAAAGAAGTTGATTTATAGATGCTTCATTTTGTTTTGTTTTGTTTACTTCCATTGAATGGTTATGGCACAAAGAACTTGAAAGTCTACAGTTTTTTCATTTGATTTTATTTCTCTCTTTACTATCTACTATATAAGGTGCGCGGTGGCTTGTTTGTTTACAACTGCAGAGTGACTTGAATTATTGTATAAGACTACTTTCCTTTTGTTTAAGTTCTGTCTTCATTTGTCTCAATTTCTGTCTTCCTTTGTCTTGCTTATATGGTGTAGTATGTTTGGCTCTTTGTTATGAAATCATTACTTAACAGTGATCAAGAAAATATATTGACCCAATCACATGAAGATGGTATTTACAATGATCAATAAGTGGGCACACACACACAAAACGATGACTATGTCATCATATACAACCTATGAATGAACCATGTCGCAACTCCCTAAAGATTGTCAACCCAAAATTGAAGCCATTGCCATTTGACTTCATTATCGAAGAGATTGACAAACTCTGCTCCTAAACCTCCTTCTCTTATAAGCTCAGCAGTGGATCTCTTTTCACCTGGTCTTTGCAAATAGGGTCCGTGGTAATTGTACACTTCACCAAGGGCTTTGCAAAGGATTCGGAACTTGTTGAAATATCCAATTGACTAAATAAATTGCAGAAATCTGAATTGGTTAGTAAACGTGAAATGGGATGAAAATTAATTCTAATAAACCAATGACGAATTAATTATGCATTTACCCCAATGAGTTAGATGTGTCAAATTTCCTTACTTATACTAGACTACTGTGAATTTGTTTGTAATTCTCTTTCCTCATCTTTGGAAAGAGAAGTATGTACATTTCAACTTTTCATCAATCTTGTATTTCCTATGATCTCACAACATTGTTTTTGTTTTCTTTTGAATGAGTTCTTTAGTCTCTTATATCGAGACTTCCTAAGATCAGTTATCAAAGTAAGATAGCTTATTAACTAACACTTCCTGTACCACGATTTAGGTATTAGTGATATTCTCTTATTGTTTTATCTATACTCATTTCTAATAGTGTTGTTAAACGTTTTATGTCAGGTTATCTTTGTTAGATTGTGTGTGGTCATTGTAGCTCATAGGTGGTGTCGTGCATACAAACAGGTGAATAAATATAATCTTTGGAAAGAGAATCTCTTATCTCAAGACTTCCTAAGATCAGTTATCAAAGTAAGATAGCTTATTAACTAACATTTCCTGTACCATGATTTGGGTCAGGTTATCTTTGTTAGATTGTGTGTGGTCATTGTAGCTCATAGGTGCTGTCGTGCATACAAACAGGTCAGGTTATCTTTGTTAGATTGTGTGTGGTCATTGTGGCTCATAGGTGCTGTCGTGCATACAAACAGGTCCTTACTCCACATCAATATCCTTGATTCCAAAACACTGAAGATATTCTTAGAACTCCTCTCGGCGCTTATTTTGGATTGAGTGGACGATCTGACGCCATTTTTCCTTGACCTGCTGCCTGCGTTGATACTCTTGAAGCCTTTCTATCTCTTGCTGTTGACGAGGGCTTGGGTTTAATACTAATCACATTGACTCAATAAATCAGCCACATTGACAATGTGTTGGTGTTTGAATCCAAACAATCAAAATCACCTGGTGCCCCGTCAATGATTTCAATAGATGGACTGTGATGTCTGTCTCCAATGAACTCAACGGAGGGACTGCGTTGTCTGGCTCCAATGAACTCGACCAACGGACTGCGTTGTCTGGCTCCAATAAACTCGACGGAGGGACTGCGTTGTCTGGCTCCAATGAACTCAACGGAAGGAATGTGTTGTCTGCCTAATTTGGTGACACATTTAGTTAGTCTTCTTGGCCTGATGGGATTGCATTTTAATGCTCACCTTCACAATCAGGTGTAAGTAATTGGGGATCCAGGTGTTCCGCGGCTTCAGGTAGCCCCCGGTGGCGAAGAAATTCTTCTGGTGAAAGTTGTGTCCAGAGGTGGTCCCAAGCCAAGTCACTGATAAAAAAGGACTTAATTAAATCTTCAGGCTTGTAGGTTCAATTTCTAATCACTAACCTTCAGGTGAACTTCTAGGAGTTGATTGGCATTGGCCATTAGATTTGGCAGTCCCACTTGACAATGACATTGAAATACGTGAAGGACTATAAAAGAAACAAGTGCAAGCGTAATAATGTGTATATACAATGTATATACAATGTGGAATAAGGATTGATATGGACAATTATGAACAGATATGAACAGTTTGTTAGGGAAAACCAAGTCTATGTGTGGAATGCAATGAGCAAGGGTGAGGAAGGGACAAAGGTGACCTTTTAAAGCACTCAAGGACAACATTGCAGCACCCACAAGACCCAAAAATGATATTACCAATAATATTTCTCCGACTTGTCATGACAACTTGGGGAAGAAAATCAGAGGTAGCATATTGCCAATGATTGGCCAAAGATGCACCCTCTCAAGAAAGATTTCATACACTACGCCAGATCACTAATTTACCCTGAGTTTAGAAAATCAAAACTGTAGAAAAATCTCACCAATACAGGAGAGGTCAGAAAAATTTGAAAAAATAAGGATTCAATTCATGGGTGCTGTCCCCTCATCATGCATATTTTTGCATATTTTTGCCATGATTTTCGAAGTCTTCCCAAACCAAAATGCTAACAGGGGATATTATGTCAGAAACTCAATTTTGGTCCAAAACTAGCAATATTTGGGCAAAAACCTCCAAGCACAAAAACATGAGTATTTTTGTTCAATCATCTGAACACTTGCAATTTATGGAAGCCGCATGATGGCTCTACAAGGTTTATTAAGGTGCTGAAGCCATTCTAGTAATGACTTCTATGCTTATGTATGGTTCCTGCTGTGTACAACTCTTGATATGTCTCACCTGTTCTTGGAGACACACAACTTTTTTGTGCACCCAAGCTGTAGAGCCAGAGTGGCATTCAGAATGTCAAGACACTACATGTTTTGGAGCAAAATTGATGATTTTGTTGGTGTTGCAAGGTCACTGTGTCTCTACCTGCCAGTTTTGGACCAAAATTGGGTTTCTGACATTATTTGCATTGTGGTTGTAAAAATATGAAAAAATATGCCAGATGATCGGAATGCACCAAAGGGCCCGATCAACATTTTTTCATATTTTTCTGACCCCTCCCAGCTTTTCCATAATTTTCTATGTCTGCTCAATTTTCTAAACTCAGCGGTAAATTTTCAATTTGGCGTAGTGATATCAGGTCAAAGCAATGCTGTTCAGAAGCAGTGCAATCCCCACAAGCAAATGATGCATTCTTTGGTCAAGTTGTAAAATATGGCAAACATGAAAGTCACTTTTTTGTTGATCTTCCTTCCACTGTCCCCTGTCCTCCTTTGTTACCCGACTGTCAAAAGTTGAGAAATGGTTCATCCTGTTTCATTGTTTATGTGCCAATTTGGTGTTATCAAAGGTGGTGAACAGTTGCAAGGAATTCCAAGGAAAGTTTAAACTTCACCCAGAGCTATGGAGGAAGCCAGGGACTGCCTTAGCAGTTTGGCAGGGGCGGGATTCCGCAGGAGCCAAAAAGTCATCATTCCGTGTGACTATCTCTTGTAGGAGCATACCAGGGTCCTGTTCAGACAAGCTTAAACCCAACTGGCCTCAATATCAAGAGTTGTTGAACAAACCAGGAAATGTCTTCTATTTGCACTTAAATCCATAATTTTTACCACATCTTTTCATCATGATTCAAGGGATTCCAAAATTGGAGTTTTGTCAGAGGGTGTTATCAAAAAAGTTGATATTCACTGTGTACAACAGAATGGTAATTTTCATCAACAATTTCCATGGAGAAAAGAAGTCATAAGTGGGGATGCTAAAGCAAGATGAATTAGATGACAAGAGAGGAAAAGAATCTGTTCAGTGAAAAAAGAACTGGGTTTGTTAAGAATGATGAGAATCAACATTGCAACATTTGTGACATAAATTCTACAGCAAGCAGTCCCAACCTCAAAGTCAACAAATTGCATACATGAACGGATGAAATCGCATACATAAACGGATGAACAATCAAACATATTCAGAGTGGTCTCCCAGGCCAATCAGGAAGAGGTGATGCATTGCAAGCTTTGTGATCTCCATCACCAAAGTTCAAACCAGTCCCAGTTGAAGGAATGAACCCATTGTATCCAGCGGGCAGTGATGGATTTGATTCAAATACTGGGATCCATTGTGGTGCTTCCCACGGTGCTGGTACATCAAATGCCGTGCCTGGGAATTGAAATAAAGAAGCATCGAGCTGAGGTGTCGCAAGATTCAATAACTCAAGTGTAAGTGGTAAGACAGACACATCTGAACCATTGAGAAACACTGCACCAGCACTCCCATTAGCGCTGACTGAAGGAGCCCCGGGTGCAGTAGCACTGATTGGCAAGAGCTCGTTCGGAGCACACGATGTTTGCGCAATTCCAGTATCTGAAGACGAACAAAATGAAGTTGGTAGAGTTTCACTCGCTCCTCTGTCCGTTAGTGAACCAAAGAGAGTCGAACCCGGGTTGAGTATTTCTTCATCACAGCACTTGAGTAAGTATTCAAACGAGGCATGTAATTTTTCAGCTTGGAACGTGCTGTTATTTCCTTCCGCAAGTGACAAGGTGGCGATCGGGTAGATCAAAGGTCAGCAACTATGGCACGCTACCCAGACTAAGTAGCACTGACGTAGGCGCCGATGCGGCCAAGATGTTTAAGCATCGGTAGGCATTTGCATATGATTCTGCTCGATCAGATGCGGTCAAGAATTCGTGACGAGTAGAAACAGCGAATGTAAATGTAAGGGCCGCCGAAGTGATCTAGGATGGAGCGTGTAAGCGTTGTATGAAGGTGCTTTCGAGCTTTTTGGGTATGAATACAAAACACTGACCAGGTAGGGCATCCAGGCAGCGCTTAGCTCGAGGAGTCCTCGATTGTTGAGGTGGTCTATTACATTCAACATCATTTTAGATGCAGCTAGACAGGCTACGAGCTCTCGTTGAGGATGAGTAGCAATCAAGTGTCGATGGACAAAGATCTTCAGGTATGCAAGAAGACTGTTTTGCAAATGAGACAAATCAAAACTCAACGATCATCTCGAGTAAAGAATGGTTCATGGAGGCTACCCACCATTCAAACCGGGATGTGGTCACCAAGTCTACCTCGTCGGATGTTTCGGGGTCCCATCTAGCGTCATTGGGTATCTCGCGATGGACATATATGTCAATAGACTGAGCAATCTCCTGCACAAAAGACCGGTCCCAGTCACACGCCTTGCTTCCCGGGATAATTTTGAGTGCGGAGAGGGTATTCAGCGAGCGAGAAAATTGATAATGTAGATGATAAAAAGCCAGGTTGGCCTTGTTGGCGCGAGTTGTGAGAAAGAGGATTTGATTGTTCTGAGAAAGTTCTTGAACAAATTGCGGTTCCTGTCCAGCATATTCTTCACAAAACTGACTCAAACGCTCATCATCGACTATGATAGGATTCGCTAATAAAACGGGAGTGACACGACAGTAAGACTTCCTAATCTGACAAGTGAACAGATTGATGACCTACTGATGGTGATTGGTGAGTGTCTCATGATAGACGCTCGACCAAGCGATGTAGAAAGCTGTAATTCCCGGAAGCGGAGGAACCAAAAAGCTCGTTTTCTGAGTTGATCTTTCATTATCGACGTCTCCCATCGCGGGGTGCCAGCGAGGTGGGTACCCACATCTTGCGCTTTGAATCAAGATAAACATTGTCAAAAGACTATTCAGAACCTTCCTGAGATCATCAAGATGTTGAAGGACAAACCTCTTCTCAAGAAACCTCCGGTCGAAAACCATGCCGTCATCGGGCTACTCGTGCCAATCAAAAAGTACGATAGCACAGCCATCGCCTGTAAATCAAACAGGGTGGGTGGCAAGGTGTAAGGTGTGAGAAGTGAATTACTGGCGGCGGCATAGACGGCCCCTGCGGCTTGCCTGTCTACTTTCATGTCATCAAGTGGTGGGGCGACACGGAAGTCGGACGAAAACCGAGACGCCGCAGCGAAGATCGCATAACAAAGCGCACGGAATGCGTGATCAGTTTGAACAAGACCAGTGTTGTAAACGCGCATGAATTCTCCCTTGTGAAGGATGTATTCATATGGATGAACTTTTTCAAAGTAAAGGTCGATAAGTGATTCGGCAAGGTCGGGAGGAGGATAATAGTATTCGTTTGGTACGCTGCGGTAGTGGTGAAGTTCGATGGTACGCTCAACGATTGAACGATTCTCATTCGCCATGTAGTATGCCAGATCTGGCTCGCCAGAGCCATCAGGTTTTTCCCATCGACCGGGCGCACTACGGACAGGGATATCCCCAGATTGGCAATGTTCTAAGTAGTCTGTCGGCGTGATGCGTAAATGAGCGATCGATCGAAAGACTTCATCGAGATCGCAGAGTGCGTTAGATTCAGTCTGAGGCGTATTCGAGTCTAGCACCCTCTTGACTGTGGTTTGACTGGACCTTGCAAGTTTTGGGGAGTCCAATGTAGGCTGGAGATGTTCATGCGAAAACGTAAGTGAATTCAAATCGATGTTCGGTACCAAAGCCTTGAGGACTTTTTCAAGACTACGGATTCTGGTATTCATTCGATGGACCTCACTATCCGCATGTAGATTGGTTGGGAGGTCGCATTATTTGATTAGGCTGGATGATATTCGGCTGAATGATCTACTCATCCAGCTGAAAAAAGAGATACGAACCGCTTGGTGGGAGGTCTTTCGCGCTTAACGCCAATAGCGTCGAAGGTGCATGGACGAGAGGCATGTTTGCAAGTTTCGCAAGGGATAGAATGCAGCACAATACACTTTGTCTGTGTTCAATCGTCCAAGGAAGTGGGACCAACATCAGGTAATGAAAGATTTTCCAGGGAGAGATAAGTCGGGACGTCACCTTCATCTTCCTACAGCCATCACAGGCACGAGGGACACGGTGTCTTACGCGCTTGATCTCTTGGCCCTCAGGGTCCATGTCAGAAAAGGGGGTCCAGTCGGCAAGAGTGGAATGGTTGGAGGAAGCAAGACCAAGTCCGTTGTTGTCCATGATGATTGTCAATGTGATATCATTGAGAGGGCACACGAGGAGGGGAGGATAAGCTTAAGGCTCTCTTGACTTGTGCAGCTTGCATTCTGTGCCTGTATGCAGGGCTAAGCCTACAATACCGTTTCAAACAGAGTCAGTACATGCAGCTGTATTGGGTACAGACAGGAATACAGCTGTTTCAAGTATACCCCCAAAATCATTCACACCCGAGGAAAGCGATAAGAGCATCCGCAATCGTTTGTGTCAAATTTGGAGTTAGTTAACCTAAAGTTAAAGATCTTTAGCCGGAGTTAAGTAATCTACCACAGCATCCCACAGTCGTTAAGGACCAGGCGCAGTTCGGCCGGAAACCTGCGCGTTGTTGCTAACACCGCGGGAATTAATTAGTTTGAACCCAATTCAACCGAATTTTGGTGTCCGGGTTCGAAATTTCCTCGAATTGTGAATTTTGTTCACAACTTGTTTGCAATAAGTTTGCCAATTTCCCTCGAGCGGTACTCTGCTCGCCCCGTGTATACACAGCTACATCATACAACAACAACGCCTTTCAACAAAAGTCACCGCAGATTCACCAATGTGCAGAGCATCAAGACTGGGGATGCATGACAAAGGAAAGATGGCTCAATGGTTGGAAATGGGGTGGTTGTTGTATGTTGTAGCTGTACATACATACGCGGGGCCAACAGAGTACCGCTCAAGGGCAATTGGCAAACCTATTGCAAACAAATTGTGAACAAAATTCACGATTCGAGGAAATTTTGAACCCAGACACCAAAATTCGGTTCAATTGGGGTTCAAACTAATTAATTCCCGCGGTGTAACTTTTCCAGTTCAAGACTAGATTTTGACTTTGAGATCGGCGAGGATCAGCCAAAGCTCCATGTACATATCATGTTGTGGGTGCACTCTCATTTCAAGGGGTGCGCCTGGGCGCAAAAAAATGACTTCGTGGTAGGTGCGGCGCCACTGGGGCGCGGTAGGCGCGCGCCTTTTGTAAAAAAATCACGGAAAAAAACCCTTATAAAGGTTCTCTGCCTTTCTTATGATCAAAAAAGATCAGCAGGATTCCATTGTGCAGCTGATGTATCTACAAAGGTACCAGCTGAATGTATGGACTTCACACTGTGTAACAAACCAGGTACAAAAGTAGTGAGATCAAAAAGATCCCCTATCATGTCATCAAAGAGACCTGGATCTAATCCCATGAATACCGGATTGATGTCTTCCTGTTGAGGGAAGACTCCACGTTCAAACTCCTCAAGTTCTTCAAGTCCTGAGAAGCAAGTGGACTGAGATTCAAAGTCGCTGTCCTTTTTGATTTCGATTTTGATTTTGATTTTGGGATCGTTTTTCCGTCCACTTTCAATCTTTTTGGAGTTATGCGCGAGTGATAGTTCAACTTGCAATATCATCTTCAAGTGAGTTGGAGTCATCTGATTGCAAGACTTGGTTTTGGTAGCTGCCATATGAGTGAAAAGGCTTTCAACACCACCTGCATGGGCTACCAGATTAAGCAGCTTAATGGCAAACAGCACCACCAACATATTTGCCTTGGATTTTGTAATCCAAGGTATCCTCGGATGCAAAACCTTGGACAGAAGCTTCCCGAGGTTTTGATCCAAGGTAATTCTCAGGGAAAAAAATACCTCGGGCAAAAACCTTGGACAAGGTCTGTCCGAGGATTTGTCTCCAATGATGCCTCGGATTTCTCAACCCGAGGCATCTATGCTGGCAGTGCAGCCAGATCTGGTTTGTAGTTAGTGTTGCTGGTAAGCTGCGCCAGTAATCGAGTGCGAGTAAGACTACATATAAGACATTTTGAAATAGGATCAATCAGTTTGGAGTTGAAGGAGTTCAACTGCGACTTGTTCATTTGGATTTTCTACAGTATCTTCTACTTACAGGTCTTGGATAAGTTGAAGGGCTCAATACCTTCAAGTTACATGCGAGCTTGATCTTTCAGGTTGATTGCATCGGCCTTTGAGTAACCCCAGACAAAAGCGATGTTAACCATCATTATTTGAATATCCATGATTGAGTATCTCCGAGAGACTGCAAGATGACTATAACTTGGAGCGAGGAAGAATCCAACAATGTAGATATTGCCCTGGTACATCTGTGCGCGTTTATCCAAAAGCTCAAGACAATCGCTCTTAAAGTTGACTTATTGGGGCCATATTGAGATATTGATGGTTTTTAAGGCACAGTACACTGTACAAAGTTCTTTCCAGATATTGGCAATTGAGGTGGTTTCACTTTCCAAACGAGCAAGTGCATCCACAACTGGTTTGAGAAACCCAAAAAGGGCCTTGTTTGCAGTAGAGTGATCTTGAGTTTGGACTAGCTGGCAAATGGGAAGTGGAATTGTAGGTGTGTCCACTGATTGATCCTTGGCCTTTTCAACGCATCTCAGGAATCTAATCTCATGCTGATTGACCAAAAGACAGACTTTGGTGAAGCTGAACCAACGACTCTCACAAAATGTCTGGATACCATGAGTGACACCTTCTTTCTTTCTCCAAGATGCAAGGTGTTCGGCCCAGAATGCGGATGATGTGAAGAAATTTACGAGCTTTTTGTTGCAAAAAGTAACATCCTTCATAGTTGGGTGGTCAAGAAAGTTTTTAGCAATAAGATTGAATGCATGTAAGACACATGATAATCCAAAAACATGATTATGCTCCTCTTGCACGAGCCTCTATATCAAATAAGTATGAAAGTAAGTTTCATGACATATAAAACAAAAAAACAAAAAGGGATAGACTTCCACAGAACTTGACCTTAGTTGAAGGAGAGTCTGTGACAACAGCATTGATGTTATCCCACCGGAGCTCCAAACCTTTGAGAGCTTCATCCAAAGCTAAGAGGATATTTTCAGATGTATGTCTCTTCTCATGAAGATTGAGCTGATCAATGTAGTGTTTTATCTCGTTTCCGCGGAGAACCAGAACAGCATAGACACTGTTTCTCCCTACATCGGTCCACCCATCCAAAGAGATGGTCAGGCCTTTTTTTGTTTGAGGTCGTTACACATTTCAAGTACGCAATTTGCATGTAAAGTGGGAAGTATTCTATCCATCATTATGAAATATGAAGGAGTTTGATAAGTTGCAACGGAAAGGTGCTCTTGGTAACGTCAAAAGGCGGGGTTGTGGAGAAAATTGACAGGTATACTTCCACTGATCATTGCTTCCAATAGTATCTGGTAAAGCTCATCCATCTTGTCTTGCTTACGTTGTGAGAAGTGGTGAAGTGTCTCATTGCGACAATAATTGAGGACAATGCCGGGTTTTTTAGTCAAAGAGATGGTGGAAGAAGGCACTGCTGAATTGCTTGAGATAGGTGTTTTGATAGAATCAGATGGTTCTTTGGCCATGAGTTGAATGTATTCAGATCTTTTTTCACCTGTTATCAATCGGCAGCTGTGAGTCATATGCTTTTGAAGGTGACTTGGCTTTCCGTCCATGACTAACTTGCAGTGAGTACACTGTGCAAGTCTGCGTCCTTTGGTTAGAGCACATGTTCCAGACATTAAGAATCCTGTCCAACGAAGTGAACACGAGTCAGTAGGTGAGACCCATTCATTGGAGTTGCTTGATGATTGAGACAAGGCGGATTTTGATTCATCTTTGGGCATTGAGGTTGATGTTTTAGTACGATTGTTGAGAAGAGTTTGTTGACCTTGAGAGACTCCAACACTTACAGGCGCGCCACTACACCACTAAAGCCTTTTTGGGCAAAAAGACGTGAGATTGGGCATTTTTAGCGGCCCAAACCCTGCACGAACACGTTGCCGTTTTAGTCACATATAATCACTACATCATCACATTAACGCGAGCGTCACCGAGGCCCAACGTGACAGGGAGTTCATCCATCGCAATCACAGCGAGCTGAGATGACTTGCATGTGATGAAATCTCACGCTCTTGCACCGCTCATTGCACACCGAGCTCCTTTGTGTTTGAGACTAGCGTGAGAGACACATCAAACGTGCCATGATTCCACGTTTCAGAGATGGTTGACCGTGGTATCACCATCAATGCCCTTCTTCAAACACTTGAAGGGCATCCCCCTTCAAACACTTGAAGGGCATTCTCTGATGCTTCACAAGTTTTCGGACAAAGTAAGGTATTTAGAATGCCAGAGACAACTGCCTCCTAGCCCCCGCTGAAGCACATCGTTGTCGACAGTGACTGCCGTGACCGACCACATCAATCGCACATCCTGTCTCTTCTACTTGTTGGATCCATCACCACCCTTGTTGCACTTCATCGTAATTATCTTTGAACAATCACCGAGGACCACAATGCCAGCCGGTTTTATAACATTGGCACAGGCCAGTTCCCATGAATGTGAGCCTTTGTTTGCGATCACATAGTCCCAATTGGATGCATTACAAACCCTTTTTGATCGTGTCGTTTAGTCTTTGTGCAAAGCACGTCTGGGACAAACACGGGCGCTTGGACGTGCAAGCTCTGTACCAGTCGTACTTTCATGGACAAGAGCAAGCACTGTAAGTTAAAGACTCACATTGACCGAGTCCGCGTGGAGCTGGACAGGCGCTCGATGGCTCTTCCCACAATGGCACCTCCTGGCCTTGCCTCTCGAAGCCTCATCTGGCCTCGGCGCAAGAGGAAACGTCTCTGCCTCAGTCTGGCAGGATCGCTGAAGATGGCGGCGGACCCATCGAGGGCTCCATGGACACCGAAGCCATGGACACCGAAGCTCTTCAAGGGATCTATGACCTATTGGGTGCAGATATGGACTCAAACTCGGAAGATTTTGAGTCACTATACGGCTCGTCCCCTCGACCAAATGTGGAGTTTCCCAAATCTAGAGAGGCCAGTCTCGACCTGGACAGGATGTTGGATGGCAGTTCCAAATCAGATAACGCCACAGGCACTCTACCGGAAAACAAACCCAGCGCAACCGCAGGGACGGACTCGTGGCTTCCATGGTACCCTCTCCGCAAGAAAGAGGTACGTACAATTGGCATCTCTTACAACCCAACTGTGTTTTTCGCTGATGTTCCTCGGAAATGGACCTTTGCCTTGTCAAGCACACGGCCTTGTTGTTGATGTTGGGAACTGGCCGTGATCTGATGTCAACCGCGGAGTACACACGTATACGCTGCATTTTGAATAAAATATTGCATGTGGATCTGCCCGATCTTGGTATGTCCAAAGATCGTCCTGTGATGTAACTGCCTTGAGCACCCCTGTAGAACTGACCCACGACCAAACCTTGGGATGATATACTGCAGGACATTTGAAAAAAATTCGTAAAGAGCTGAAGGCCCGTTTCGGGCTGACGGTCTCGGAAAAAATCAGTCCGCTGAGAAACCCCTGTTTCACTCTTTCAGTCTGTGATATCATATCACAGGTGAGTAATTCAGGAATTCCAAAGATTCCCCGTGTAGGTATGAGATCCCTGATGTAGCGTTTTAGGAGCTCTGCAACCCCGAAATAGCTCCAAACCTTGAGTTTCTTCCGGAAAATGACAAAGGCGTCACCGTCGATCGTTATTCACAATCAAAAAAGTGGCGCGAAGACCTACCCTCACATCTTCGAGTGCCTATGGTAGATGTGGAGGGAGAGCACTTCTATATATATGAGCCAGCACAGCTCTCGGACTTGCGTGTAGTTGTACCGGTGTTCTATTATAAAGACCAACAGGTCATACAGGCGAAGTGCTTGGCAGTGTTAAACATGGCGCGAGGCTCTCACGACTTCTGCGTTGCTGGCGAGCCAAAGTTTGATTCCGGGCGGCTTTTGGATGTGGAAGTTTCATCTTTTGCCTGCTCTTTCACCAGGATCGAACTGCAGAATGGGTTGAAGTGGTGTGACACCAACACCCAATTATTCCGTGAGTTATTCAATGTTTGTTTTGACAATCAAGGAAGATGCTGATCACATGTTTGTGGAACTATCTAGAGGAAACCCCACAAGGTACAAAGCGCATTTCACTCCCCAATCCTTGGCGAGTGAGAGCGAATGGTTTGATCATCCGAAGTGTACCTGTTGCGTTGTATTCAGATGATACATCTGGTAATGTCTCTAAAAAATGGAACAAGCATATGTCGTTTTACTTCGCGCTGGCTGGATTGAGACCGAAACTCACAAACCAGGAGTACCATATTCACCCGCTGTGTACTTCAAATATTGCAAGTGCTTTAGAGCAAGGAGATCAGATTGTGGATGAATTGAAGTCAGTCTTGCTCTTGCCTGCCCTGCTCGGTCTATGTTCATGTCATTTTGGAAAACTGATTTCGACCCATGATAGCTGTGGCTCTTCCAACGGATTTCAATCTTATGATTGTAGCATCGAGGCAGACGTCCTCCTCATGCCCTTTATCCTATGCCACATGGGAGACTCTCCGATGCATGCCAAAATTTCAAACACCACGAATCCTTTGGGGACTTTATCACCTTGCCGCATTTGTGATCTGACGGTGGAGTCGCGGGCTGAAAAACAAACTGAAACATATGTTAAAAAGTTTGTTGGAATTGATCATGATTGGTTGCCGGTGAGGTTTTTTTGTATACTTTCACCAGAGTTAGTATGGACCTCACTAACTCAGGTGAAATGTTCTTAGGCCACCCTGCCTTTCCGCAGCTGGGACCGCACCAGAGAGCATACCAAGGAGCTATGGAGCCTCACGCGGCACCCTAAAAGCATCAAGCAATTTGACGACCTATCAAAACAATACGGGACTCGGGACTCTCTGAATCTACCTTTTGCTAAAAAAATCCAGCAGATCTACCGGGAAAATAAGCACCGACCAAAAGGGGAGCAGACCTCCCAGGACAACATTATATGTCATTGTCTTGATTTGGAAGCAAAACATGGCGAGCATATGTTCAACCCTTTCTTACGTTTGGCAGGTACGCTCTTGATTCCCATCAGGCCCATATATCCTGGGGGCTAACTGTTTCCATGTAGCTTTTGATGGTCACTTAGACACTCCTGTGGAATCTCTACATGTGGTACTTCTAGGAGTGACAAAATATCTATATCGCGATGTCATTTCGAAATTATTGCCTGCTGAACTGTTAACGATCCACGGGCGTTGGCAAGGATTCGAAGTTGATGGGTTGAATGTTGCGCCGATACAAGCGCGTAACATGGTCCATTATGCCAACAGCCTCCTTGGCAAAGACTTTCGCGTTGTCTTGCAAGCTGCACCATTTGTTTTTTTTTGATTTTATTCCAAAGGATTACCAACACTGTTGGATCACATTAGTTCATTTGGCATCTTATGTTTTTCAGCCAAAAATTTTCAACAAGGATGTCTATATCTCGGACCTCAAGATCGTTATTGCTCGGTTTTTGAAGCAACTGATTGCGCTGAATGCGCAATGGACTAACAAACCCAAATTTCACATGCTCACGCACCTACCATATTCAATTGACAGATTTGGACCAGCGTGCCTCTTTGCAACCGAAAAGTTTGAGTCTCAAAATGGTGACACTCGTCAAGCTTCCGTTCATTCAAATCGCCATGCGCCTGGTCATGACATTGCGAACCGGTTCAACGACACTAGGTTGATAAGAATGCTTCTTTCGGGTGGATCCTTCTTTGATTCCAAACTTGGTACTCGTGCAAAAGCCTCCAGAAACCTCCGTGGTTTGTTCAAAGAGCGTGTGATTCGACATGGGCTCGGCCTTCACCTTCCTTTACCCTCTGAAAGTTACATGTGAGCGCTTGTTTCAATTTTTTCATAAATCAGTTTCCCATTCTAATCAAAGAGCAAGCTCAGACCCCAAAAGGACAGGCCAGTCCGATGAGGACGGAGACGATGTACCACGTGAACTTGCCCGGCAATGGCCAAATGCCCAGTGGAAAAGAGGACTCCAGGTAGCACTCGAGAATGGTCAGAAAGTTCTTAACAAGTCTTTCATTTTGGTATGTTTCCCCAAACTTCAATTACATTGGTTTCATGTCCTGAAGCCCAAATGGCCTTTGGACGCAGGTGGATTTCAAAAACGAACCAAACCGACCTATCCATGTAGGACATGTCGTCGGCATTTGGGAACAAGTTGGATGCCAAAGGGTTTTACTTCATGTGAAAAAATGCCAGCTTGCCCCCGGGCTCCATCCACATTATGGGACACCTGTGGCGCCTTAAGCCTTTGGTACCTACCCGAAGTTAAATGTGCGACTACCTACAGATAGCTTCCGAAACGCATCATGGCAGATACGCCAGATAAGCCAGACAGATCCTGGTTGTACATTTTGTCTCAAGGTAGAAATTTTTTTGAATTTGCACCATCAAGAAACACATTTTTGTGCATTTGAAACTACATTAGGCCTATGAGAAATTTAAAAAAAAACCCTTCCAAGACTTGAAATTTTCGAAAAAAAAAGCCAGACCTGTCTGACACACTTTGAGTGCGTCAGACAAGTCTGGTGGTCTTCCACAACAACACAAAAGTCCAGACATGTCTTGCATCCAGATCCGTCTGGGACATGTCTATACAGCCAGACACGTCTGGATGTGAGACATGCCACAGACTGTTCTGGATGTAATATATGCCCCAGACAGATCTGGATATAAGACACGCCCCAGACGGATCTGGATGTAAGACATGTCTGATGATGTTGGACAAATACCCACCACTGACCAGACATACACCAGATAGATCTGGTGGTGTTGACAGATTGCACTTTCACCAAAGGTACATATGTATAATTAAAAACATCCGGCTGATGGCCTTCATCTTCCTCAAAATAACAACAGCTGAACATCTCAAAATCGAAAACAACAACAAAACAACAATGTATCAAACTCAACAATTGATCACATTCATTACTTGAAAAAATCAATCATAGGCAAAGCTAAGTACTCATCCCGATACCTGATCTTCCAAATCTCTCGATTCTAGATCCAATCAACGCTTACTCAACCCGTCATCTTGCTTTTACTAGGTCCCCTTCCACTCAATCATGTGTAATCAAACTTGAAACCGATTGCTCAAAACTCATAAATCAAACTCATAAATCTCCCATTGTGTGGATTGATCATACAGTTCAGACCGATCATCAGGAAAGCAATCCTAACCTCCTCTCAAGCTCTCATCGCATCTCATCCAGCAAGATTTGTAGCATTAGTATTGTTTGTAATACAATACTGTACTTAGAACGAATATTTATGACCAAGAATTGCAATGCTTAGATAACAAATAAAAACAAAGAATGAATCACAAAAAACAAATTAGCCATCGGCATGGATATGAAGATCAAACAAATCTAGCTCAGCATCCTCTAAAGGATCAATTGGCTGAGCAATCCTTGTTTGAGCCTGTACTATATTTTCCCAACCAAGCTGGCAACTTGCAATTAGACCCCTCCAGCTGAGAGCAAGTCCCTCGTCGTACTTGTTGCCCAAATCCGAGTAAATGGAAGTTTTTTGCAGTACCTCTGGTAGATCATGATTCCATTCCAACCAGGTTCGAGTAAGATTAAAACTGATTGAATGGTGCAATGACTTCAGAACCTGACTGTACTTCAGCCAATTCTTTTTAGTTATGCGAGGTGGAGTTGCCTCACTCGGCACCACCAAATCCAATTGCAATGACGTTGCTGTTGGGTCCCAAGCTAAGCACGACTCAAATTTCAGTATCAGAATGGAGAGCAAAGGATTTATAGAGAGTTACAACCTTTTTCTGACAAGAGATGTAACCTCTCCAGTTTCCCAGCCATCACGATGGACCATTCCATCAGACTACGCACTTCTTTTGCAATACGTCGCAGCTCCTCATCACAGCTTCGTATTGCAAGGAACGCTCTGATTCCCACTTGAGTAGGTTGATCGACTGCCCACCTCTCTTGTGGATGTTGCAGCTCGCCAAAGTTCCAAAAATCATCACTGATATCCAAACCTTTGACATCATCGAAGGATTTAAGTTCTAGGGGGTTCGGACTTGGATATGTTTCGTTAAACTTGATTGTCATGTCGTGGTAAGTTTGCCATTTCTTTTTTAACAATGCCTGTTTGTTCGTCATAATAGTCTTCATACGATCCTGAATTTTAGTACCTAGAAATGAAATTAACAAAAACATTACATCCATCAATATACTTGGATATTATACTCACCCTGCCCACGTTCATCCCACCGTCGTTTGTGCTCGATTACTCCAACTTTGGCTTCGTAGAGGTTTTGTTTGGCAACACGAATTCGGATTAGAGACTTGCCTTTATCATCTAAAGGCAAGAATGTGAGAAATTAAGACATTAAAACCAAGCAAAAAAGAATAACAGATCTTACCCGAAGCTTCAGGTAGATTTCGAAATCTTTCACTACCAAGGTCAATCACAACCTCCTCGATCTCCTCTTCAAGATAAATAATCAAGCCAGGTAGACTGGCCAGATTGTTTAGGTCGGCTTCAGTCCGTTCTCCTCGCCGACGTTGCCGAATCTGAGTCAATTTAGCCCTGTAACAGCAACATTGATGAGGACGTTTCAAAACTATCATAACCAAACGGACTCACTGTGACTCCCTCAAATCTTCCTCAAAGTCCATAAGCTGTGCCAATTGTTTTTCGAGAGCCCAAAGGTCATTGGAACCAATGACTTGTGACTGTATAGTCTTCTGCCGCTCCCACTGGGCACCGAAGTATTCTCGATTATATTGAGGCTGCTGCTCAATCCTTTTTATTATGTCCAAGTTTTGTTTTCGGGTTTTCTCGGCACGGGCTGTTTTCGATTTGATTGATTGTACTGACAAAACGAAAATATGACAACTAAGTTTCTGAAAACCATAATATTGGTGTGAGTAAGTGATCAGCTCTTACCTGCATTAGCACGAAGTACGTCATTGTTGTGACTCGCTTTACAATTGATCGCATTGAGTCTATGCTGCTTGGTACTGTAACGAAGTGCAGCCACCAAGGAACAGAGTACAAACCAAGTACGTTCACATCCTTCTCCATCTGATAGTCCCCAACCCAAGTTAAACCGTGGGCTGTATCCCAACTGGCAGCCCCATTCGTGTACATACGAGTGAAATACAGATGTACCAAACATAATCTGTTTAGCTCTTCTTTCCCCCTGGAAGAGTCCTCTCTGGAAGAACGTAGGGAATAGCACACATCAGCTTGTATCATGAATCGTCATGATTCTAAGAGATACCTTTTTGATACCCTTCTCGAGGTTACAGCCAATGTCGTAGAGAAACGCACACTTTCTCGGTCGCTCGTCATCTGGCTCTTTTGCTCTGTCAAGTAGCCAGTCCACCATTGTATGAGCAAAGTGTGCCCTAGATAGGTAATGTAAACGTGAGTGATACCAAAGTATGTGCCATTTCAAAGATGGACATACTTTTCTCCGCTCTTCTCAATATTAATGAAAGCTAGGGCATGGTCATGTCGACACACCATGCCCAGTAGTCCTGTATTGTCACATCCGCGCCAAGTCGAAGCCGTCCTTGTATCATTCGCAGCGGTATGCATTTGACTACAAGGATCCTACAGGAAAATACAGAGATGAACTTTTTGAAGACAATATATCACATATAAGATTGTGAGTTGATACACACAAGATCATCATTGTAGTGTGGTGCACTGGCCCCCTTTACACGCCACTTCTCAATCAGGGCTGGTTGAACAAATAACGCTGGGTACCTTAATTGAATTTGGGAGTTCTCGACGCTGGCTGCTTGGTGTCTACGCTGTTGAAAGTTTCCATCGAGGCAAACTATATGATCAGGTTCGTCGGTTTCTTGATCAAGTTTGGAAGGACCAAAACAGCGAGGGCAGTTGGCGGCCAGCTGCTCAAGATTTGTCAGCGAAAGGGCCCGATTGGTAAGTTCTTTTTGTAGGCGTAACATGTGTCGATATGCATCTATCGCAGATGAAAAAGGTTGGCGCCATTGTCGTGGCTGATCAACATTCTATCAGTTTCCTCCTTGGTGACCATTTTCGAAACACTTTCAAACTACTGACCTTTTTTGTACTTTTGCTAAGCATCAGTGCATTACTGGCGTCAAGGAATTCATCTACCGCTCGCACAAAAGGCTGAATTCGTATACTCCCATACTTCCAAAGTATGTGAAAGAATCGGAGCAAACGTAATGAAAAAGCGTTTTTGGGATGAGTAGGTGAGCCACCCATATATCCCATTTGAATCAATCGGACCACATCTGGCTGGCAAGAGCAGAACGTGATTAACATTTTGGTACGACCTGGGTTATGTTATTTGGTCATTCATTAGTTGTGGTACATAAGGATCAGGACTAATTGATACATACTGAATATGTCCACAACATCCACAGGCCGAGTTCTCTTCTTGGCAGTAGAGCAGCCGCATTCTGGTTTCCAGTCAATGTTCCAGGACGCTGTTCCCCACTGCAAAGTCATTTTGCTGGCTTCCATGAAAGCTACAAACATCGGAGTGAGGTTTTGACGCCATTGCAACTCCTCCCGTACTCGCCTTTGTTGGTAGGATACACTAGTGATATGCCGAACCACCTCGTCGTTTTCTTCGGAAGTGTCGGACTCATTTTCACTGGGACTTGGCGGCGGGTCGTCTTCATCAGGAAACATGTTGTAATCAAGATTAAAATGATTAGGTGAGGCAGGACCGGTGTTTTCATCTTCAACTTCAAGGTTATTTGTTTCATTTGATGTACTGGCTTCGTTTGTATTCAACGGAGGATTCAAAATGACTTTCCTGAGCTTCGTACATCGTTTATCTGCCCATTCATCTTCAAGTCGATTGATCTCGTCGAGCTCGATCTCAGCATTGCCTTTTGTCTTTTGTGAACGCTTGTTGATGGCCTGACTTAGCGGGCACGGGATCGAGTTTCCGTGATTGCCCATTGAAATATTGAAGTATGAAGTTAAGACTATATGCGATGGAGGTGAGGGGGATGTGCCATGCCAAATGTGGTCATTGACCTTGATATAAGTTTTAAGCTAACAAATATTTCCGTAATTGACCAATTGGGACAAGCCATCAAACTAATTGGGGTGCTACTGTCCTATACACCCCTTTTTGAAGGTATTTGGGACATTTCACTTGCCTTTCTGTCTGGATGAACAAGGGGCTGTCAAATATGTCTCATGTGTCAAGATGAGGTCTTGGTTACATAAACCTTTTTGATCATTCTCCGGAAAGAGATAAGTCTCTCACTGGCTGATCTCCTTCATCTTCAGCAAAATGGTCATGATGTAAATATGATCTTTGGCCATATTCATATTGTGATACCCAGAATTCTTTTAGGAATGCCTGGCCACAATATCAAGACCTCAAGGCCATGGTTGCAATGGCCACATCAGACAGTGGAATTGAGTGATAAGCAATGTGAATTTACCACAACAACAAGACAAACCAAAGCAATAACGGGAACACTGGAGGTAGTATTGATAAGGTGATCAAGGTTATATAGTGGAACATGTGTACCTCAAAGAGCAACACATTTTTCATTAATGATACTGTTTGATAAATGCTCACCTTCAATGTGTTTGTGTATGCTTTGTAGTTGAGGGGTAGGAATAAGTGCAATTTTGAGCAGTAAAGCGCTGATATGATGATGATGATGAGGGTTTGTAATAAAAAGTTAATAATTATTGATGTGCAACTTGAAGAGCAACACAATTTTTATCAATGATATTTTTGACCAACTCCTCATCTTCAATGTGTTTGTGCCAGCTTAGTAGTGGATTTGGTGGAATCTGTCCAGTTTTGAGTACTAAAATCCTAATATGATGATCAAGATGAGGTGTTATGAAAAAATATCATTAATGCAGAATGTGCAGCTCAGATGGATGCATATTTTTTATTATGCAAGTTTTTTTAAAACTCCTCCCCTTCAATGTGTGTGTGTGGGTTTTGAGGTGAATTTTGGGTCAGATACATGAAATCACAGGTGACACAACATTGGTCACACAACGCATCCCAGTGGTTTTCACACAAAAACCAGCACCAAAGCCACTCACTTGCTATGAAGATGAGGAGTTATGAAAAAAAACCATTAATGAAAAAGGTGTGTCTCTGCATCTTGCACCTTCCATATAATGCAAGCTCAACACAACTCCTCATCTTCATCATCATATGAGGATTTTAGTACTCAAAACTGGAAAGATCACACCAACTCAACCACAAAGCTGGCACAAACACATTGAAGATGAGGAGTTGGTCAAAAATATCATTAATAAAAATTGTGTTGCTCTTCAAGTTGCACATTAATCATTATTAACTTTTTATTATAAACCCTCATCATCATCATCATATCAGCGCTTTACTGCTCAAAATTGCACTTATTCCTACCCCTCAACTACAAAGCATACACAAACACATTGAAGGTGAGAATTTATCAAACAGTATCATTAATGAAAAATGTGTTGCTCTTTGAGGTACACATGTTCCATTATCAACATATTCTGACAACTCCTCATCTTCATCATCATATCAGTGATTTCCTGCCATATATTGCACTTATTCCTCCTGCTCAACTACATGATCCTATTTTGAATTTCATTTAATTTTTTCCTTCTAAGTTTAACTAACAGGTCTGGCTATTCAGAGAGCACGAGTATTTTGGCCAGACACTTGGGCATATTAGGTGTTTATTACAAAGTAGGGAAGACAATGTGTACAGTAAGCTCGTGGGGTCCATAATTGATGGACCTGAGTTCTGTTGATAAGGTCACATTCCTTATGAAAAAATGAATGTAATGTGAGCTCTGAGGGCACAGATCCCACCATAACAAGCATCATAGGATGGGTTTCTTTTACTTAAGGCCTTGGATACAAAGTCAATGTTCATCTTCTGAACATCATATCATCTTGTGTCAAACCGTAAGGTAATTAGGCAAGCACAGAGTATCCTTTCATCATAGAATCATCTCGAATTTTATTTAAATGTTTTCACATTGGTGTAATGTGAAAACCAACAGTGTTGTTGTAAAACAATTTTTTTGGTCGGTCACAGGTACCTATAATCAGAACATAAATGAAGTAAGACTAATGGTAAAAAGTAACATGATAAACATGGATATACATATAGGAGATGGTTTTTGTTCTTTTTGGTTTTTTTGGGTATTGATTTGGTTCTTGTTGATGGATATTCCTCTTCAATAGTTTATAATTGATGTTAATATGAAAGAAAACAAATAACATTCTACAACATGAAGATTTAAATTTGTCATTGGTCATAAACAAAAACAAAACTTGAGAAATCAATTTTTAACTATGTTAGCAAACTTAAAAAAACAATTAGTCCAAAGTCATTAAAGACGAAAGATGAATAGAGAAGAGAAGATGAAATCGGTGTATTTGATTTTATATGGGTCTTTATTAACATTTGATTTACTTTCAAACAAAATCAATTCCTTGGATCCTACCACTTTCGATCATTTCGGACCAGTTAGTTGTTTTTTGAGTGTTGATTATGCTTTCTTTTCTTTGGATTTTTCTTTGAAAGTTGTAAATTCTTCTGGTTTCGGCACTTCGATCTACAATTAAAGGTAAAAAGGTGATTAGAAATATGATGTGAACCATTGACGAAACAAATCCAAGATAAACTTACAGA